GTGCATGTACAAAGTTTTATAATGCCTCAAAGAAAAATTTCCTCTTTGTTCAGTCCATATTGCCATTTGCGAAGATAATACGAAAATCAGTTGCTATACAAAAAATGGATAATTGTTTTATGTTACAGGTCCAATTCATACACAAAAAAGAAAGTTGAAAATTTTGAGACAGATTTGCAATTTATGTGTAAGACTGTTTATTTGTATGAAGAAAAAAAAAGTGATCTATTGCAATAGCCAAAATGTTTTTAAAAAATACCAAATATTTGTGTTTTTTAGAATGAATTTTTCGACTTAGCCATTTAAGGGGAGATAACTCTCATAATAAAAATTTTATACTGGAATGAAAGTGAAATTTTCCTTTTTTACTTGTAGCAAGAAAACAAGTTCGGTCACACCATTTTTTCTTTTTGTTTTCTTAAAGCATATTATAAAACCTATCTTCTCATGTTTATTTCAAAATTCTATCTCATAGATTTCTTTTTATTTACAAAAATATGTTTTTTCATGAACAATCTATGCAAATTTGGGCAATTTTGCACGACTTGTATCTTAAAAAATAGCACGGTGACCCATACTTTTTATTATATTTTTGAAAGAAGCATAGTAAAATCTTCATTCTGGCAAAGTATAAAAAAATTCTATCTGAGGAAATATATACCAGTGATCCACCTTAAATAAAAGATAACCAATTTTGATAAGTGGTGAAAACTGTAACCTTTAATAAATGGAGTATAAATTGTATCATTTTATGACTTTTACGATTTTCATATTAAATCAGAATTAAGAGAAGGCACTGGCTACGATTACGTTGAAATGTTGAAATGAGGGTCTAGCACGGTTGGCCCTGGCTAGCGCTTTTTTGGCATTTAAATAGTTTATTTTTACCTTATGGTAATTGATATAATTTTGAGTGACAAAGACATAACATGAATAAAAAGTAAAATGAATAATAATTTGATAAAGAATATAAAGAAGTAAACTAGTAAATAAATTGATGAATAAAAATAAAAGATAACAATAAATAGAACTTATATAAATAAAAAAAAGAAAGGAAAAAGTTTATAAAGAACAAAAAATTAAAATTAAAAATAGGAGCCACTGACGATAGTGGATAATAATAATATATAACAAATCATTCAATAGAAAAAAAAAGCACTGTTTATTTGAATTAAGGCAAATTAAATAAAGTCTGTAAAACAATCAACAACCTCATAATAAAATAAATTTACTTCTCGTTTTTACCTTTTAAACTATCATTTTAGTATAGTAATCAACATAAACAGTGCTTACAATTTGTTAATTTTATAATATTTGGTACAAAGGGGAGGTAATAATATACCCAAATATCAATTTAGTAGCACGCATGATTCATATGCCAGCTTTAGCTGGCACTTATGGTAGAAGCATCGAATTGGAATAAAGAACGATAACTCTCTCTACATGATCAATCTAAAAAGTTTCGTCACTCTCGTTAAATCTCGTACGATTTTTTTTTTAATTTTTCGAAGTTGATCAAGTCAAGTTATCTAACTCTTAAAAATATTTTTTTTCTTTTTCTTCCTTATATTTATTAAATAAATATTGTATTCTTGCTTGGCTCAAAATATAAAGTCAATTCTTCAAATAATGAAAACGAAATTAGCATTGGAATATCCGTCTTGACATGGTCAGGACATTAGTTTAACCCTTATATTTTTAATGGCTGCCAGATTCTCGTTTAATCGCGATCTTTGAAAAACGGGACAAAACGGAATAAATTCGATTTTTAAATACGACATGAATTTTTATTTGTTTACAAAAACAAGAATTTAGAAATTTTGGACAACAACATCTTACACCATCCTAGTCCAAATAATTATGACGTCTTGAAAGGCTATTATATTTTTTTTCTTTGACGCCTTACATCGACGCGTAAGGCGTCAAAGAAAAAAAATATAATAGCCTTTCAAGACGTCATAATTATTTGGACTAACACCATCCATGTTTCGTCGTCTGCTTCATCTTTCCATTATCAGTGACAAATTTCCTAAATAACCACAGGTACTTCATTTAAAAGTTACAATATCATAATTTATAACATTTGTAGTGTAAAAGTTTCGTCCAGCCATGGGAACACAGAAAAACCCTCTGCAAGCAATAAATTTCGGGAGAAAAGTAGCCAGAGGTAGTAAAATCCGGTGCTCTGCCTCTGGTTGACCTAGTCCTAATAATTATGACATCTTGAAAGGCTATTATATTTTTTCTTTGACGCCTTACATGTCGCAGGAAGGCGTCAAAGCAAAAAATAAAAATAGCCTTCCAAGACGTCATAATTATTTGGACTACTGGTTGACCACGCCTTACACGTCGCAGGAAGGCGTCAAAGCAAAAATTTAAAATAGCCTTCCAAGACGTCATAATTATTTGGACTACTGGTTGACCATGACTACTATTATTTATCTGCTACAGTATTTCCCATATCAAGTTACAATGATAATGAAGTTGGTTATACTGTTGAATGTGATCACGGTTATTCCTGTAGCTCACAGACAAATGCAGGTGAAATTCAAAACTTAACAAAAGTTTTAAACAAAAAAAATATATTCAAATATTAGACTAGATTCTCTCATCTCATAAATATCTCCTTAATTTTATATGATAGTCCCACAACAATGTTGAAAAGTTATGTGTACATTTTTTTTTCTAGATTCTCTCATCTCATACATGTGAAAGCGGTACCTTTTTGGTCACTATTTATGTGTTGCATCTAAATATGAATTGTAACACTTTATAGTGACTGACCAGGTCAAACAAATACTTCTCATGAAGCATGCAGAGAAAGTAGACAACTTGGAACAGCACCAGCCATTCCAGACTATGTATGAATAAAAACTCAGATTGGAATAGCATGGACGATATGTTAGTTATATGTCCTTGTGAATAGTAAGGAAAGCTATCAATAATTCTGCAGATAACGCAATTTTATCAGGTTTATCGTACATTTTCTGTTCCGAAATTTTCACACAATCAGTGAATCGTTCAAAAAGGCTAAACTAACTATTATTACTGAAAGTTTCAAACAATGACAAGTGTTTCATTCATGAAATAACTCGTGCGTTTCTGCAAAAAAAAATCATGTGCAATTTTGTGAATTTTAAAAAGGGAAAGAAGATCCTTTTGCGGTGCACTCGCGCATGTCAATTGTGAACTGACCCAATATATTTTCTTTATCATGACCAGTTCACTGATACTGACGTCGACATTATCAAGAAGTACACATCAAAGGAAAAATGCACAAATTACTGATAAAATAATTAACACACCCTGTTTTGTGTGTATCTCCTGCCGTATCAGTATTTGTTGCATTTATATATAAATGAGAAATAATCAATGTAAAAATGGTAAATTTTTGGAGAAAAAACCCAAAAATTATGGAAAAAACAACCCAAAAATGTTGTTTTTGACCACTGATTCCTAAACTGTTGGTACCATATGATAACCCCAAAAATCAATTCTAACCTTCCTTTTGTGTATTGAAGTTGAACCTTCTAGTACTATTTCATATATTGTCATAGAGATCCATTTACTTAAACTAAAGTTATTGTCCGGAAACCAAATGTGTCTTCGGACAATAACAGCGACATGATTGCATTACTCGAAAGCAAATTTTTGACATATTCCCCATTTCCATTCTGAATTTTATTTTGCCTTCATATAAAAAATTGAAAAGTAAGCTTATAAAACAAAATGCAAAAATGACATAAAACTGACTCTGAATTAGTACATGAAATTGATGTAGAAACCCACAAACAGAAGATGATCAGGAATACATTTATACTGCTGAGCAGTGTTCTCCCCTCAAATTTTAAATAGCATCCTAGAAAATAGCAAAATCTTTAAATTATCAACTTAACAATCCTATTTATGGTTCCTTATGCTTAGATCAAAATGAAAAACCTGATCAAAACATTATTCTAAACAGGCTCACTGTAAATTCAAACTCTTCTTTTAACAATCAGAATGATCCTCTTGCTGATCACATATATATGAGATGCAGGAAACTGGGAATACAATATGAACATCCAGCTAATTTAGAAAGTAAAAATAATTCAACAAACAAAAAGCGTTGTTTGCAATACTAAATAAAAAAAAACAGCTACAACTTTTAGATATTGATGAAAAAGATATTCCAAATCCTCCACCTTTTCATGAAAATCAACAAAAAATAAATTTAATAAAGTTATGGATTGTATAACAGTATTCATAGTTTTGAAATTAAACAAATGTCTTATTGTTTTAAGTTTTGTAAAAATTTGCAAAGAAAGAAAAATGGATTTGAAAATGGCACAAGATAATGAATTTAAGCATTGTCATTTAGATAAATCATGAATAAATTTATTTTCAGCAGAAAACAATATGGACAATAAGGGTGCAACCAGTTAGCTTCAAAAGGGTAGGGGTTATGGTTTTTTGTTTGAGTTAGATTTTTTTTTCACGCATAGGGCTTCAACGCTATCAATCAAAATTATTTGGTCAAAAATTAACGCTAGAAGGTATGAGGATAATCTGGATTCAGAATATTTTTTTGTCTTCTGCTTGATTAGAATATTTTTTTTCATCAATTTGGGAATCAGAATATTTTTGAAGGAAAAAAAAATACTCCATCCTGCCTTTTGAAGTTCAATGATCGTTCCCTTAACATTTTCCATCTGAACTTATTATTTTATTTTAGACAAATACTATATGTAGGACATTCGTCCTGAACAGGCATGAAATATTTGCCACTGGACGTTAAGCAAACCAACAATCAATCAATATGTAGGACATAGTCTTGGTAAGCTGGCATTCAAGGTAGCGCCTTCCTCATATTATTTTTCGTGAAACAATGGTGATTACCAATATATCGTGCCAAACATGATCAAACATAAGACTAACAGCTATACATTTACAGTTTTTATTTTTGTACGGATTTTATCGAGCTCTCCGAAGTCGTTCTTGTTTTATTATATCATTGTAAATATCCGGGAACAGATTTACCATGGACAGTCCACTAAATCAGGTAATTAATTTCCTTTCAGAGCATCATTACTCCTTAATCCATTTAAGTATTTGATATAACATAAGGCAGGTGTTACGATTTTTTTTAACCTATTAAATACAAACAAGTAATTGGATGTTTTGGACTTATTGATCATAGGTTGGGGTCAGTGCCCGACAGTGGTTGGGGTAGTCCAAATAAGCCTTTCAAGACGTCATAATTATTTCGACTAAGGTTGGGGGAGATCGCACAGGCACTTGTATCAGAAAAAAATACCTACATACTAGTCCTAAAAATTATATTAAAGTTTAAAGGTATTTTTTAATATATTGGCTAGGCTAGCTACATTGTAGTCATGTAAAACAGTGATCAACAGTCTGACATTTTTAAATTGAATTAAATTTATTACAACTAGACATCATTGAGATGGCATTCATCTCTGTTGGCCCTGCTGTAAATAATGTATAAACTTTGAAATTATATCGGTTCTCAAGATATCGAGCGTACACGATCTTTACCATAGAACATGGGGTTGTCAACTGAAACCAAAGTTTTTGACCTTGAACTTTGACCTAGGAAATTGTACAAACATTATGACACTACCTGTCCCTCTGGTGTTGGTTAATATACATGTCAAGAATAAAGTATGAAATTATAAAGGTTTTCAAGATATAGAGTGGACACAACTTGTTACGGACAGACAGACAGACAGACGGATCACTATAAAGGCGACCCACCATTAGGCGGGGCCCTAATAAAAAAAAAAAATCGGAAACTACTTATATCATGTATATTGTATTGAATATGGCAATTTATCATTATATTCATTAATTAAACACATACTCTGATTTCTTTTTAATACTGATTCCCCCATCTGATGGGTGACTTGGACACCTTTTTTAAACAACCAAAACGGTAAGTAAATCTATACATGAAATGGTTGTTTTGTGTGACACTTCCCCAGTGGCCATTCTACACCTACCCGGGGGATACTCGCTATATATATACCAGGTATGTTCCGACAAACGGGGTTGCATTATCAGCTAAATTGTCTGAAATGGGGTTATGTTTTTTTTGCCTTGCATTGGAAGGGGTAAGATTTGACTATCTAAAACGGGGTATTATAAATACAATGTTACACTATTGTTTCATATAATTGATTGATTGTTGGTTGCTTAACGTCCAGTGGCAAATTTGTTTCATACAAGGGTGAATGTTTGGTATACGTACCATTAAAACGTTTAAACCCGCTGCAACTGTTTGCACCTGTCTTAAGTCAGGAATCTGATGTTAAGTAGTTGTCGTTTGTTGATGTGGTTCATAAGTGTTTCTCATTTTTTATATAGATTAGACCATTGGTTTCCCGTTTGAATGGTTTTACACTTGTAATTTTTGGGGCCCTTTATAGCTTGCTGTTCGGTGTGAGCCAAGGCTCCGTGTTGAAGACCGTACTTTGACCTATAATGGTTTACTTTTATAAATTGTGACTTGGATGGAGAGTTGTCTCATTGGCACTCATACCACATCTTTTTATATCTACTAAATTGAAAACAACGTTCAAACCTATGATTGCGTTGGATAAAAACCGCAATTTATATACGTATGCATGCTAAACAAATTTCTTGGTAAAGGGGTCTAAATACAGCACAAACAACATTTTCCAAAAGACCAAAACAGTGAAAAGGTATATTTTAACAGAACGGGTATATATATCAAAATATCAGAAAAAGCTATCGTTAAAGATTTATTTTACATTTTTCATGCCCATTTCATATAACCTTTGAACTGAATTTACAACTTCTTCCAAAGATTTGATATCCACATGTTAATCAATACATAATTTGAATGATCCGAAGGCAGACAATTTTTACCAATTTGTCTATCATGGAGTTATAATACTTCATAATTTGATGCTAAATTGTTGAAATCCAGGAGCTTCTGACCTTCCCCTTGGACCCTATACCAGGGCAACCGGAATTACGCCTCCCGTTCATAAAATCCTGGCCTATGACTATTGAAATGTAAAGTAACACCCTATACCCTAGAATTTGGAATTTCTCGTTATTGGTCTACTGCTATTAAGATCCATCCAATCATTTTAATATACCATAAACAATTAATGGAGAGAATTCGGCATAAAAAATATCAAACCCTGACACTTTAACTATAAAATATACATGCTCCAAGTCAGGAACCGTTACATTGGTGCATTTCACAATTATTTTATATTTTTTAGCCAAAAAAAGGTCCAAAAAAAATTTTGCCTAGCTCAGCTTGGCTTAAATTGTATTCTATGCCCCCTCTTTCAAATATCCTGGAAACGCCCCTGGTGTTTTACTTTAATTTGTCCAATGGCATTACAAAAATCATTTATGATAACCAGAAATTTGTGAAGTTGAAATACCATATCAATATTTATTCCAATCCAGATAAGTTCTGAAATTACATGTACACAACTTTTTCATGATGCCACAATCAAGTTGAAGCTATCTGGGGCCCTGTTTAAACAATGTATTAATGTTCATGTATAAAGAAATTTTCAGAGACAAGTCATGTTTAAACCATTGTAAACCATGTAAACACTTTAACCAAAGCATTTTTATTAATTTATTTTGTGTTTTTTGTATCATAAAATATGATTTTTTTCTCCCTCAGCTCATTACTAATGACTTTTGTTTTTGTGACACTTGACCCATACATGATGTTTTCTAAGTAACTGCTTTTTTTTTGGATTGGACAAAATAGCGATTAGGTGTATTGTCTTCATGATTGAGGACTGAACAATAAGATCATGTACATTTGTTATTGTAGATAACCAAATTAACTGAATTTCTTGCATAAATTATTGGTAATCAGAACTGCTTTATAAATTGACAGATTTTGGATTCATTATAATTAGTACATTTTTTTATATCGAATTTCCTACTATTATTGAGAACTTCGACGACACATTATACCCCAAAATGGGTATCAATTTATAGCAATAAAAATGAACTTTGGGTTTAGGGATATTTGCTGTCATGGAGCAAACATTCATGTAAAAGGCAACAGCACAATGACTGAAATATCATCCTGTTTGAAGTAAATGGCATTCAAAAAATAGAATTTGATATGTTTTTGTTACTTGACTTTACTAAATTTTTCTAGATCTTTTCTTCAGTTTTTTTTAGCAGAGTTGAAGACAAATGTAACAGAATATATTAATTTTTTTTTTCATTTGTAGGCTCATCAGCAGAGTAGAAAGGCAGATATGATGTTGAAGTGTAAAAAGTTTGAAGAGGCAATGGTTTGTCACAGAAGAGCTGCAGGTAAAACACTGGTTGTTATGTCACTTTAATTACATATTTTATATGCCCTTCGAAGAGGGGAGGTATTATAGTACACCAATGTCCATCTGTCCGTCCTTCAACACTTCGTATGATAAATCAAATTTGCTATAAACAATTCTCATGTAATTTTAAGACAACATTAGGATTAACGGAAGAAAGCTCACTTGGGATTTAAATTTTTTTGGCCATGTCATCCCAAAGTTACAGGACTTGAACCATTTGAATTTGAAGGTAACGTTTCACATATCGCACACTTACTATAGTTTACCTGAATTGATTTCCTCATAACTTTACATTATTGTTGGTCTTGATAAAAGAAAACTCCCTTTAGATTTGTTTAATTTTATATATTTTTGTTCCACAATTGGAGGACTTTTACCATTTTAACTAAAGTAATTTTTCACATATCGGCCTCTTCCTCCAGTATGTCAGGATTGATTTCCTAAAAAGTTGACATTCAAATTCGGATTGATGTATGGATGCCTTTTCGATTTTTATTGTTTTCTGGTGTTTCGTTCCAGAGTTACAGGACTTTAATTATCAGATTTAAGAAAATGTTTCGCATCTTGTACCATAACTTGAGTTTGCTTTGATTGATTAACTGACAACTTTAAATAACTGTATAAATTGGCAAACATATTAAGGTGTTTGATTTTTAAAAAAAATTCAATATGTCATTCCAGAGTTATGAGACTTTGACCATCAAATAAATAAATGTCATATTTTAAATGTCATGCACTAGCTCTAGTATGCTTGAATCAAATTTTTACAAACTCAATACTGTTGTTGGACTTGGTGACGGTGTATGTAGACTTGCTTTTTATTTAAAAAATTTCTGGTTAAACTGTTTGTCATTCAAGAGTTATTGCTTCGCATCACGGTGCGGAGCTATTAGTTTCAGTCGATATACATGCCATCTTGAAATAATTACTTATCACATATAGATTCTGATTGGTTGCTTTATGATGCGGCTGAGATACAGCAACAGCTATTGGCTTAAATGAGATAAAGAATTACAGACTTTTCTCGTCTCAGGATAAGACATCAAATGCTGGAAAATTAACTTTGTGTATTTCAGTTCCAATCAACTGTCATTAATTCATGTTTATTTTATTATGCAACAATTGCACACTGAAATTCAATATTGAAATATCAATTATTAATACAATGTACATGTTTATTTGCTTTGTTAATCTGCAATATGCACGATTTGTTTAGCTTAACAATGTTCCTCTACAATGTTTACAAAAATGCATTATCTGTATTTATAACTTCTGCCAATCTAGGCACACCTCCAGCGTCGTGTCTATTTGTAAATGTAAATTCAACAAGTTACTGTTAAGTGAACAAAATTTTAAAAGCATGTGTGTATAACGCACACTCTTAAAGTACAATGTAGAACAAAATCATTTTCATTGAAACTAAATATTTATTGCTGTTTCTTATTTATTTTGACTGTTGTAAATATCTTTTGGTTGTACAAGTCTTTGTTTACTCTTTGGTTTTGATTATTATTGTCTTCATCACTCAAAATCATGTTACTCTTAATCAACATACCTAAACATTCATATATATCTAGATAAATTATATACAGAACTAGCAATCAAAATCGCAAGTCAATGACCATTTGAAAGAACTAGAAAACCACACTCCACAAAAACATTGACAACTAAACACTGAACAGCCAGTTTAAAATTTCAGAAAAGTTCATCTTTATATATATATATATACAACAAGAATATGTCCATAGTACACGGATGCCCTACTCGCACTATCATTTTCTATGTTCAGTGGACCGTGAAATTGGGGTAAAAATTCTAATTTGGCATTAAAATTAGAAAGATCATATCATAGGGAACATGTGTACTAAGTTTCAAGTTAATTGGACTTCAACTTCATCAAAAACTACCTTGACCAAAAACGTTAACCTGAAGCAGGACAGACGGATGGACGGACAGACGAACAAACGAACGCACAGACCAGAAAACATAATGCCCTACTACTATTGTAGGTGGGGCATAAAAAAGTCTAAGACATCCATTTTATATCAATCAATATCTAAAAATACCACATTTCCAATACTAAATCAACAACCACATGCACACATCTTCTATACATTTAAATGAGAAGCCTTCCGCTTCGCCTCAGACCAATACACCCAAGACATGGACCAATAACAAGGCCAATACAGAAATACTTACGCAATGATATTATAGAATGACAGTATGGTTCAATAGCGGGAATCAGCCCCTCAACTACTTTTTACATAAATATTAACTTCTGGCTTCAATGCTTTGTTCGTCTTGTCTGGAGATCTTGATGTAGTTCCAGTTCAGCAAGCATTTTAGAGACGTATCCCGTCCATCCTCTTTTGACTTGTAATCTCTGGTGATAGATTTTGCCGCTTGACATTGTATCCTTTCAAGCTTGTTTTTTTTTTGTTACCATGTAGGGGTCCCATACTATGGCTCCATATTAAATTATAAGATCCATTCCTAAAGATCTAGATCATTGTTCTAATCTGACACAAATTTCAATAACTGGAATGCTACCCAAGTTGAATATATGGTGACCCACGAGAACAGCATTATCACTATTGAAATTGTGTTTAATACCATGATTGTTCGATGTCATTAACTTAAATGGAGACAGACATTTGACCTGAAAGACATGAAAGGTGGTGTGGGAGTGCAAAATCAAAAACTAACTGACTATGATGTATGGTTAAAGAATGAATATCAATTACCTGGGTCAACATGGTCAAGGGCAGAGTTGTTATAAAATAACAATATGGCAGAGAAGTGGTTTCAAGTTTCATATAAAGCGATCTGACTGACATGAATTAAAAAATCGAAGGAGTATCCCTATTTGTCTAATCTTCAAGGTGAAATAAAACTAGTAAAACAATATTATACTATTGTCTAAATATACAGAAATATAATTTGCTTCAAGTAACAGAAATAACTAGGTCACTAGTAACTTATTTAATGAGTATGTGCGGTATAAGAGCTTGCTAACAACAGGCTCTTCATAAGCATTTGGTTTGAAAAGGATACTAGTAGTCAATATTCTTGATTTAGAAAAATGTAATTGCAAGAAAAAAATCACATTACTTAGAATACTTTAGATCATTCAGGTAGTCTTTATTTATATGTACAAAAGAACAGCCAGTAGTCATTGGATATTGTAGATCATTCAAATAGTCTTGACCTTTTTATTAGTACAAAAGAACAGCCAGTAGTCATTGGATATTGTAGATCATTCCGGTAGTCTTGACCTATTTATTTATACAAAAAAACAGCCAGTAGTAATTGGATACTGTAGATCATTCAGGTAGTCTTGACCCATTCATTTGTACTGAAAAAAACAGACACATATACGAATATCAATTATATGCTTACGAGACATGTTGCAATAACTTATTACAGTATGTGAAAATCAAGACTTGCATAAAAAATATCACAATATAAAAGACAATGGCGTCATTTTTCCTCAGAGCTTTCAGCTCTTTGATTACATGATGAGATTCATAACAAAAACCTAAGTCTGCTGGTGAAAAATTCAAAACGTTATATTGACATCAGTTCATTTTTAAGATACTTTTGATACCTTTCCTGAAATTCTCCAGTCATAAAATCTTTTACAAAAATTCTTCCTACAACAGTTTATATACTTTCAACCACGCTCTAAAATGCTCGCGATTTTGTGGGTGTGTTCTAGTATTACCTTAAATTAGGATAGAGAGAAGCAGTCCACAGCTTTTTAGAACGCTCAAACTTGTGGGACTTTTAACTGTCATATTTGCCTCAATATTTATACGTCAACAGTTATCCTCATACATTTTTCACACAAAGCCATTTATATGCTTTTGATAGAATACTTTGTGATATCCCTTTTTATTTTTTGTCAAATAATTTCCTTTAATTGATATAAATGATTTTTTTACATGGGCTTTCCTTTTCCGTCACTTTTGCGCTTTTAATTTCCAGTTTTGTTATTTTTTATAGTTGTTTACATGGATACTTTATATGTAATCGGTTTTAAAATGTAAGCCTGGTTTGTAAACCTAAATTACTTTAGTGCATATATATTATTTTATTATCCTCAATGATGTATTTTCTATTGTCTTTCAGACTACTTGTTAGAAGCTTTACAGACCACAAACTCTGAGTTAGCCAAAGAGTCTATCTACCACCAACACCAGTATCACCTTAGACAACAGGATAATCTTCAACATAAAATAGACAGAGAGGAACGCATTCAGTACAATAAAACTATTACCCCACTGATTAGACATAACCAAAGTACACAAACTGATAAGGAAGTCAATGATGAGGCAGTACTACATGCCATGTCTGACACGGATTCTGTACTAGGGTTTCTCGTCAATAGAAATAAAACATTTAGTGATCCAAGGAATAAAGAGTTAACTGTGCATTTTAGAACAGAGAAACAAAATATAACACACAGTATAACAAAAATTCCCAGAGATGATAAAGATATTCTGGAAGAAATGTATGTAAAAAATCAGGAACTAGAGAAACAAGTTATTCAGCTCAGTAAAGAGGTGATGGATCTGAGAGGAGAAAAGAAACTTTTACATGATAACTTAAAATTGATCGAATCAGATGGTAAAGACATGTTTGATATGGGAGAGGGATCGTGTATACCTGATCTTATGCTGCCTCCACTTGAAATGCCTCAGTTTGACCTTGATTCATTGAAAAGTCAAACTGAGACTGATACTGAAACACTTACACTATTCAGCAATGATTAATATATCCTATAATGAATAAAAATAGTTTTTTAAACACCTTTTTTGTTTTGCTCAGAAAATAATCTCTTCATAGCTTTCACAAATCTTATCTGAGATTGCTCTGACATCTGAATGCCTTTTTGGAGACTTGTTGGGGCCATGATACAGTACCTTGCTACAACAGAATGATAGCTAAGGTAGTCAGAGCTACTGCTTGAATACCTCTGCTCTAGAAAACAAAAAAACATGCACAATAACTATCCTCATATGTAAATTTGTCAATACCAAATTTCAAAATGATAACAGATTTTGGTAGTATAAGTACAAAAGATTCATGAATTTTTCATACAATCTCTATTCTGTACCAAGTCAGGAATATGACAGTTGTTTTCCATTTGTTTGATGTGTTTGAGCTTTTGATTTTGCCATTTGACAAAGGACTTTCCCGTTTTGAATTTTCCTTGGAGTTCGGTATTTTTGTTATTTTACTTTTTACTCTTACATTCCACTTTAATTCAAGTGATTTTCGATAATTTCACTCCAAATGTTGTCTATTATGGACCCCCTTTTCAAAATCCTGGATCTGCATCTGAATGATTGATAAGATAGATTTGAATTTGAATTAGATTTACTGTTTTATCCCACTTTCATGAGCAGTGGTCAGGCGAAGTTTTCATTAAACTATGGATTGCAAGGTCCTCATGCTTGTCGGACAGTTTTCACTTGACCTCGACCTCATATCATGGATCAGTGAACAAGGCTAAGTTTTCGTGGTCAAGTCCATAATTCAGATACTACAAGCAATATATCTACTATATTTGGTATATGGAATGTTGGTAAGGTGTACATGTCCAACTGGCAGGTGTCATCTGACCTTGACCTCACTTCCATGATTCAGTGGTTAAAATTAAGTTTTTGTGTTTTGGTCTATTTTTCTAATACTGTATGTAATAGGTCAATTATATTTGGTGTAAGGAAATATTTTACGATGTATATGTCGGTCTGGCATATTTTTATTTGATCTTGAGCTCATATTCACGGTTCATTGCTGAATGTTAAGTGTTTGTGTTTTGGTCTGTTTTTCCTAAACTATAAGCAATAGGTCAACTGTATTTGATGCATGGAATGATTTTAAGTTGTACATGTCTGTCTGGCAAGTTCATCTGACTTTGACCTCTTTTTCTTGGATCATGATACTTGTAGTTAAACTTTATATTTAGGACTATCAACATAAAATCAATGGTAAGTAAAGCAGGCGAGACATTTCAGAGTGTTCACTCTTGTATAATCATTGTCATTTCTCATTTCCATGGAGGTTATTTGGCTCTGCACCTTCAGTCATGGTTCATTGACTGATTGATTTGCATAGTTTACATGTTTAAATATTGCCATTATTTTAATTTTAATATTTGCACTTATACTATCAAAATTACAAAACGCGAGACATATCTCAATGTCAACAGTGTATTCTAATTTTTACAGAGAACATAAAGCGGATGAAAACATCGATATTTTACTTTATAAATGTAGATACTAAAAGTGTGATTATAGTTCCGACATTTAATTCTGTTTTAATTTTTTTTTTCTTTTCTTTTTTGAGTAAGTGATTCAACAGAATAAAAGACCTTGCGATAGGCAAACAGTGCAATTGAATTAACAAGATTTCTTTTTATGTAATCAGAAGCCATCTGCATTATAATCTGTACGTAAACATAATCTGGCATAGAAAAATAAAGGACCAGTTCCAACGCCGACAGAGCATGAAAATATATTGAACGCGAATATATCGAACTAAAGTACAAATATTGTAAAATATGTGCTACTCATTAAAAAAATAAACTAGTTCACATGAGAATGTTTAACTCATGCTGATTTAAACGCTTTTGTGTAAATATGTAAAATACTGATACGAATAAAAAAAAACTTTTTTTATGTATCTTGGAAAGTCATTGTTAACTTTCTATCCTTATTTCTAATGCCCTGTCCTACATTTGTATGCAAGTGTATTGTTACCGATAGCCAGATAAAAATAAGACGTCCGGTATAATCCACAAGTCGATATTTTTTTTAAATACAATACTGCATGACTATTGTTTCTACAACGGCTTCTTCTGTATACTTGTCCCAATTTCAAATGTCCGCACAAGCTCAGCGGGTACCTTTTACAGAATGGCTTTGGCAGTTGTTATGATATTTGTAGAATAAATTCACTTCAAGGTGATACTTTATTGTTACTAACGCATTAACAGCATAACAATTCTGTATAAACACAACCATTCTATAAATAGTTTATTACACGTATGACACTGTATCTAAAATTCAAAGATTTTATTTATTTTTTTTGTATTTAATAATAAAAACTACGGTTTCAGCTGTTTTCCCTTGGTATATTGTTTTCGTATTTCTTTAGTTTCAGAAAAGTGTTTTGAACTGCACAATATAAGTGTCTATGACATGTATCGACATAAGCATACGTTTGAGTGCTGAATAGCATGATGTCTAGTTGAATCAAAGGTTACATATTGCACACCAAGATTTATTTTGACGAGACGTTTTTACAAATATTTAGAGCGTCCATCCCAATGATGAGACCACCAATCAGTATCAGAACAGTGGCTCCAACATAGCCAATACTCTTTGCACTGGTTCTGTTATCTGGTGCACTTATTAACTTTCTTTTATTCCCTGAAAGTTATTAAATATAATGTAAACAGAATTTGGTTGCGCCGATATAAAATGTTAAATATGGTTAAATAACACGAGACATAGCTAAAATATTTTAAGGGTCAGAGTGTAAAATCTTGACCGGACTGGACTAGCTGAACTGTTGCTATTTTATGGAAAGCGCTTTAATTTTTTTTTTAATTATGAACACATTTCATATCTTATCTACCATGAAATGGTAAGTTAAAGCTATAAGTCTGTCACCGCATGATGAATAAGCAACACATATAACGTAAAGGTGAATCAGCTGCTAAATTCATGTTCACCGAATTGACTCAAACGTTTGAGCGCCTATATACACTCTTCATTCCAGTAAATATGATAAATAAACTCATCATAGATACTAGGATTGAAATTGTGTACGCCAGACGCGCGTTTCGTCTACAGAAGACTCATCAATGACACTCGAATCAAAAAAGATAAAAAGGCCAAATAAATTACGAAGATGAAGAGCATTGAGGAACCCAAATTCCTTAAAATTTAGCCAAGGTAATATATTCCTGGGGTACAAAATCCTTAGTATTTCGAAAAGTTTTGATATCAGCTAATTTATAATTATGACCATACCACTGATAATTCATGTCAACACAGAAGTGCTGACTACTGGGATGTGTCATAGCTTTAGGCGTGAAGTTCCTTTTGGGAGGGGGGATTGTAATGTCTTTTCATCACAGTCATGTATGTTTCATGATAAATTTTCAAAATGCATGCATATAGCTTACAATTTGGGATGGTGGATGGCTGTTAAATGTCCAGTGACAAATTAAATGCATATTCAGGACGAGAAGGTGTTAATGCTATATGCATATATACCCTGATTTGTACAAGACCGACATGCTGAACCGGTTTTTAAAAGTACTTGTTCACGAGGTAACAATCAGCAGTAAGAGGTGTCGCCTTACTCGGACACATGATTCTGACTCCAAGCCGACTAGTCTTTGCTCTCACTCTTAATGCCGTGTGCCTAGCGGAGAAACAGCAAATACCAATTTTCAAGTCTCTGCACTCGAGACGACACACTTCGGACACACGAAATTTGTAAAATGTTAATTAATTTCCTGTAGTACAGTAATATACTTCATCTAATAAAGTTCTTATTTATGTGTGGTTACTTACGCGATGTTTCCTTTTTAGGAATAGTTAGTTCTTTGACTAATTTATCAATCTTTGCTTGTAATTCACTTCGGTCTATAGGTTGATTTGTAGCGTAGCAGACACATATGCATTCTTCAGTGGTATTTTCTGAAAGAAAAAAAGAAGACAATAAATCACTTTCGTTGTGTTGTTTGCTCACTCATGTGTGCTTTTAAACGAACAACCAGTAAGCTACCTCACACAAACGTATAAATTATAGCAAAGAAACTAAACCACAATCAATATCGCCATAATTACCAAACACTGCAACGTTCATTTATGGAACTTCTGCTGTCTTTTCAAACATACAGAAGTTGATATGTATCATGTATCAATTAATATAAATAAGATGATGTGATATGAGTGCCAATGAGACAACGTTTAAAAAGTTAACAATTATAGGCCAACGTATGGCCTTCAACACGAAGCCTTGACTCACACCGAACAGCAAGCTATAAAGGGCCCCAAAATGACTAGTGTAAAACAATTCAAACAGGAAAACCAACGGTCTAATCTATAAAAAAACGAGAAATGAGAAAAACACATATGAATCACACCAACAAACGACAACCACTGAACAACAGGCTCCTGACTTCATGTACAAAGTCCGTTTGGGTTCTACAAATCCTCAAAAATGAATTAAAAAAGATATGCTTAAATCTACATTTTTTTTAAACCCTGTTTGATAGTTGTCTAATTTGCAATCAACCACATGTCCTTATCTTACATAGTTCATATTTGGTAGGTGCTTCTATATACTATTATTTTCTTATTGATATACGAACTCTGACCATTTTTGCCACAATTTTTTGTCAATAATTAAAAAAAGTTGCACGTTATGTCTCTAAAGTAAATTTGTGTTTTACAAGCCACGTATTATGTCAAGGATGTATAGTACAATTGATATGATAACGGAACAGCCATGTTGTTGTGAAAGGTGTCCTTCGGTAAAATATAAATGATACACACTTGATTAGGACGAACTCTTTTTATTTATACTAATTATTTATTTATTTGGAAATTGTCATAAATGTGTAAAATTGTAAATAAAACACCTAAGCAGTTACTGTTATGAAAAGTTCACTCACTCAATTGCATGTAATTTACATTTTATTAGAAGATAACCAAATTAAAATAACGTTAATAATAAGAATAGGAGGAAACAATGTGACAAACTTTGATAGTTTATGATGAAAAAATGTTTGTCTTTGCCAATCCGATTGCCACATGCATTTTCCCCTTTTAATTTCACCTGCCCCAACACCAATTGAGCTTTTTTTTTAATCACTTATCGTACGTCGTCCGTTAACTTTTACAACAAATCTCATCTGAAACTACTAGGCCCACTTTAATCAAACTTGGCCAGAATCTTCATTGGGATATTTAGTTAAAAACATAGTCCGATGTTCCAACCTGCCAACCAACAGGGCCGACATGGATAAAACTAGAGCATTGTGGTATAAATGCAAGTTCTGCTATTATCTTCAAAACCGATGTAAATAGAGAAAATCTGATTGAGCAGAAATGTTGAGAATGTTGAGTTATCATTGCCAATTCTTTCATTTTTGCCTATTTTCTTGAAAATTATAATACTGAAGTCTCACATAGCAAAAATGATCAGCAAGACAAGATCTACAATTAAATCAAATGTCTGAATTTTTCAAACTAGGATTTTTTGTTGGATTTATTGCCCTTTAATGACGATGTTTACCAATTTCTTGCGTTTTTGCCTATTATCTTAAAAAACTATAATAGATAGATAGATAGAAACTTTTAACAGCAAAAATGATCAACAAGACGAGATCTACAAATATATAAATTTTGCCGAAATCGTTAGTAGACTCAGCAAAACAAGATCACCAAACAGAGATTTTTGTCATGAATTCTATTCTAGTCTTCAATGTTGGAGAGTGTGCATTGATGAAGATACACATAGACCTAGGTGAGCGACACAAGCTCTTTAGAGTCTCTAGTTTAATCTATAAATCGATAAACTGTGATACAACATTGATTGGTATACATGTACCAGGCAGTTAAATTATAAATGTTGATTCTACGTTGAATGTTCTGTACATACTTCATGAGGTGTTATGTTAGTTCAGTTGACATTAGTTTTCCCTGAATACCAATGCTTCATCTCACGCGTTGATAACACCGAAGATTTAATGTTATTTCAGATGATATCTGAAATACTAGTAGCTTCCGGTGAGAACCCAGTGCTTCATCCCACACGTAGATAACACCGAAGGTTTAATGTTAGTTCAGGTGACACTCACCTTCCCTTGAGTACCCACTGCTTGATTACACACGTTGATAACACAGAATGTGCAATGTTAGTTAAGGTGAAATGAGCTTTCCCTGAGTACCCAGTGCTTCATCACACACGTTGATAACATCGAAGGTTTAATGTCAGTTCAGGTGACACTATCTTCCCCTGAGTACCCATTTAAAGGTCTGATCATATGTTGATATTTTCCAACTAGAGAATGTGACAGACGATTTCCCATTTCTCAGCAGTAACATATCCTGTACTCCATCGTAAGGTGTTTACATAATTCAGTTAATACGTTAAGCTGCTGCATGTTCACAACATACGAACTTCATTACCACGGTTGTGCTCGACACTTTACATGTTTTACGGGCACCATTACAAATTGGCTTACTGATACTATATGTCGGTGTCTCAACTCACTTGAGGGTGATGCATGCATAGCAGGAGACGCTTACCCTGTTGGCGCACCCAGTCTTGCTCTTATTGTTGTTCATGTGATTCCCTCGGTTTTTGTTTGTTATCTTCATTGTCTCTTCCTAATCGATTTTCGAGGTTTGAACATCGGTAGTGTAAGCATTTGAGCTTTCCTTTAGCATTTGAAACTGCAACTGGCTACAGACGACTTTCAACACCCAGTCAAGTAAAGCATAACATATCTGACCGGTGATGGTCACTGTATTCCCTGATTGAAAGTTACTTTCTTTTTCTGCAGGTGACTTATCTTCCTTACAACTCAGTAAGCCAAAAATGTTCAGAAACCTGCATGTTCTCTCTTGGTCACTCTTTTTTTTTTAAATTCAAATTCCTTTAGCTTCATCTGTATTGCAAAGCTTGATTATCAAATCTTGTATTAAATATTGATTGGCAATCAAACTTTTTGATTTGCCTGACAATTTATAATAATGAGAAAATTTAAACACTTTGTAATTCAATTTCTTTAGCAAATTCAATCTTAATTTCAACTATAATGATCAGCTTATGCTTTAACAAAAGGATTTGTATTATGCTCTTCAAAATATAATACAATTAGCAATGTTAACACCTCAGAATTGTTTGGTAATTTATTAGACCTTATGAAAATGAGGATATATCGTATTATTGCCAATGAGACAGCTATCCGACATAGTTCAAATGAAGTGGATGTAAGCAATTATAGGTGGTCTTAAACAACTAGCAAAACCCATACCGTATAGTCAGCTGTAATCGGCCTTCACATGAAAAATGTGAAATTTAAATGAGAAAACTAACGGCCTAATTTATAACAAAACAATTTGCAAAAACCAAATATGACAAACATGAACCAACGACAACAACTGAATAAAAGGCTCCTGACTTGGCACAGGCACATACAGAATATGGCGGGGCTAAACATGTGTTTGAGCGCTTAACCTTCCACTGACAAGGAACAGTGTTGTAACAGCACACCATAAGAACAAACGGTAAAAATCAGTTGTAAATGGCTTAACTCAATAGATCAGTACGAAGCACAAACAGAACAACTAACATAAAAAACAATAGATGCAAAGCACTAATATAAGAGTTCTCGCAGAATGGAAATAAATTGATTTGGTTTAGAGTATAATGTCTTTTTTTGTTTACGTAATACCTGAATACGTTGTTCCGACAATTTCACTGGTTATTGTTTCTGATGTTGTTCCAATCATTTTAGTGGTTCTTGTTTCTGTTGTATAGTCACTGATTGTTGATATTAGTTTTTGAGAAGTTGTTGCTAGCAATTGTGTTGTTATCAGATTTGTTGTTCTTTCTGTTGAGGTTGTATCTGCTGTTGTTTCCATGGAAACAGTCGATGTATCTTTTGGAACTGAAGTATAAAAGTGACATCATATCACTAACACACGTCTAATAAAGATAGCCTTCATGTTTTTCAATCTATTTCGTATTTCCAATATTACTAACTTAATTCCCTTTCCGGCTTTGTCTATACTTTTCCATTTTGCTTTGTTCAGCACATTAGTTTTTTTGTATTTTCAAATATTTTGGCTTCGAGCATCACCGAAGAGACATTTATTGTAGAAATACACATCTGATACAGAATAATGGTACTATTAATATTGATACTACCACTGGGTCGATACATCGTCTGGTGCCCAGAAGCAATACTCGAGTTCTCGCTCGGCAAAATATGAAACATTTATACATAGTCTACGCTTCGTGGGTCGCTGTCTTTAGACGTTCAACCATATATATAGATGATTTTTTATCGATCAAAATCTAAGACAATGTTCTAAAAGGAAACTGATTACTCGAGTATTATTTTGGTTTTCGATACTCGGTACCACCGAGCGATACTCGAACATTCGAATAATCGTTGTCATCTCTAATTATTTCTAATGATACACTTACGCTGCAGTGTTACTTTCGTGTTTTTTTAGTTTCAAATGTCCGTGTTGTTTTAATGGTAACAGTCCTGTCTATCTTTTGTCCTGAATAAACCTGTATTATTTTCAAAATTTCAAATTCGATCAAGTTTACATGACCGATGGTTTACGAATCCAGTGAAGAATAATGGTTAGGTAAGATTCAATTACCAATACCAATACCCTTATAAATGATCATAATATAACTTATCAAAGTATTGTATAGGAATAACACGATGGGTGTCACTAGTGGAGAAGGATCTGCTTACCATTCCTGAGCTCTTGAGATCAACCCAACATTCTGGTAGGGTTCGTGTTACTTTCTATCTAGTGTTTTGTAATCTTGTTTGCCTAACATTGGAGTCTTTCGTTTCTGCCATGACGTTGTCAGTTTCTCTCCTATTGTGGGTTTTGAATGTCACTTGAACTTAGCAACAGAACCCCACCAAAAACTTGGGTCGATCTCATGTGTAAGCAGATCCTACTCCACTAGTGGCACACAATGTTGCTTATGGTTAGTTCACATTCAGTGGTAAGTATCTTTCAGTGACGTCATAACTGATGAAAAGAGGACAGGATTGTGGTTATGATAATGGGAACATGTTCGTGGTCATCTGTGATGTAATAGGTTATAAACAAGCTAATTAAAAGAAAGCAAAATGGGAAAAAGTAAACTACGAGGTCAATGACCAGTGAAGTATGTTCGCTGACATAATAAGCTTTTAAACTATATCAATAAGATTATCGATCATATAAAGAAAACAAAAACAAAACTCGACTTTTAATGTAAATAAACAACTTTATTATATTTGATAATAATGTAAATTTAGGCAAATCAAGTGTTCGGATGTTAAAAAAGAAGAGACAAATCAAGGTAATTAATACAAACTGGAGAATCGCATGAACTCGAAAAAGACAGAGAACGGGTGCTTCGAAAGGGTAAGCATCTCCTGCTCAGTTGAAATTTAACAAAAGAAATGGAACTTTTTATTAGAGGTACAGTAGACTCCGGCAAATCGGATACCCAAAATGTCAGCTAAAAATATCCGATTACCCGATATATTCAATTAGACGATGAATGTATATTCATTGAATATTCTGCAATAATGAGTAGATATAATCCTGAGATGTTACTAACCCTGACAATTGCTAAATATGTGAAAGGGCTGGAGGATTGATGGACTGATTTTTATCAGTTACATCACCACGATGTTTGTGTAAAAAATTATCAGCTGATTATGTAATGATTAAATTTGTTTGCAGTTTTTAAATCCTTTATTTATCAAAATAAATCAAATGTCCTGAAAAATTTATGTGAATTATTATCTACCATCCATAGTTTGTCTTTATTTGTTTTGTAAGCAAATTAATATCCATTATTTACATTATCACACAGGTAAACTAATTTGGCTATAAATAGATCTAAGCATGTCTGTGTAGAATCTCCAAACTAAAAGCGTATTTGTTATAATTTTATATCTTTAAATAATCAAATTTAAATTTATGAAAATAATCATGATTGATAAAATATTATTGCATAAAGTTTACGTTTTCAGAAGACTATTTATATTTAGGTCATAGTTCTAGAGGCTTCCTCACAAATTTGTAAACATCCAAAATGGCGTCCATGACATGTGGTTACTTTGACTCTTACTTTTGCACATGGGAAAAAAATATATCTGACAAAAGTCAGATTTCTCTTGTCAAAAGGGATTTATATTTATATTGCAATAAATTATTCAGAAGGAGGTACATTCAGTTTAGATTATATTTCTGATTCTGTGAACATTTAGTTTAATCAAAATTCTCCAAACAGCAACGTCAACTTGTCAACTGAGTCTTGCATATTTTATAAATAAATTCAAACCATTTGAAGTAAAAGGGCATCTAATTCACATGACAAAGGAAGACAATGATTAAAGACAACAATTTATTAAGAAATAGTTCCTTTTATTTAGTAAAAACAAAATCTTCTTGTCTGCAAGATTGTAATTTCGTAACTTCCGGGTCCATTTCCTGTCAGAAAAACATTGAAAATATCCGATTGTGCATGGTTTTGAACAAAATGACCTGAATATTCTTATCCGATTTGCCGATATATTCTTATATCCGATATTCGATTACACGATAAAATTAACATTAGACATATAGGGAAGGGTTTGGTGTTTTGAAATAATATTACAATAGCCGATATATTCGTTTAGCCGATATCCGATTAGGTGGAGTCTACTGTATTAGAGAAGGTAAAAATGGTCAATTTGGTATGAATAGTTTACATCTGTTTCCATGGGCTTCAAAAGTTTAATGTAGGTGCATAATTTAGAATGTTTTGCATCTGATATACATGTTTAAACTTAAATTATAGTACGGAGATTCGAGATCTTTGAAAACTTTTATATTACAGACAAATTTTCACAAAACAGGCAATTAAGGTAGGTGCAAATACATGTGGATCTTTTTTGTGTATAAGCAAGAATTCAGCTGAAAAAAAAATCCACAGAAAGATAAAAAATTGATCTTTTTAAAGCATTAATTTGCATCGTTGCCCCCGGTAACAGTTTTTTTTTTTAATCTTAATGATGGGCAATGATCTTATCGAAAAGAGAAAGTCGGCTACACCTTTTTTTATGTTCAGGCGTGTATGAGTTGACTGTTTTGTGTTGAAAACGTATAAAGCAAAAGTATTATACAGCATATCGCTTTAGCGTCCATTATATTTATATATTTAGGCCACATGTTGATATAATAACATTAAAAATTCTAAGAAATGAATTATATGGGTCAAGTGAAATACCTTCCTAATATGAGTCATAACAACACATTCTGTGCATTTGAACAACTTTTTTTTACTAAAAGCATCTGACGACAGACTTTACTTGTGGATCTTTTTTGTGCATAATTTTAGTAATTAGTTTTCAAACCTCAGAAAAACTTACGTCTGCCCTTCCACGAAATATTTAATAATTTTTTTTGTAATGTGTTTTGAACTTTCGAAAATTCCCCCAAACAACCGATCAGGCAATTGTTTTCAGTTGACAAAACGCCGTAAAGTATACTAAATGATGCTTAATAACTAGAAGATACAGTTGTCTTTTAAAATGCAACTGTCATGTAAGGTTCGTAAGGTGCCGTGTGGATAATTTATCTGTTTTCAAGAGCTAAATTGACAGCGCGTCATCCCTACAATGGCTTCCACTTTCAGAATTGGAAACACTAGGTGACGTAAGGGGAGATAATTTTGACGAAGTAGAATCCTGACTGCACTATGCATGCATCATCCGTCATGCGAATTCACACTCCTTTAAAATGTCATATCCGAGTATAGGATACCATCGGTTAATAACATAAACGGTACCATTTTTTCTGCACCAGATGCGCATTTTCTAAATTACAGATCGGGCGACTATTTTAGTATCTATAAAAGATCTAAAAAATGTCCTTAGTGAGTTGAGACACAGACACACTATATCGGTCAACCAATTCCTGATGGTGAACATAAAACTTGTGTAGTGTCGATTTCAGTTGTTTTTCCTCGTGTCAGAGCAGTTTTTGTGTTCTATTAATGATCATCCTATTAATGAATTCCGTAATACCAATCAAAGTGACAATTTTATTGCGCATTTTTCTAATTAATGTGTCTTCAGTGATGGTTGATACCAAAATATTTGAAAATCCAAAACCTAAAATAAACCTTGAAGAGAGCTGATAAAAGTAAAGCAAAACCCGCCAGGGAATCAGAGCTATGGATTAGGGAGATGATTGTTTAATTTAGAACTATTTCGAAATTTTATAACAAAAAATTTAAATAGAACAATATCCGTATGTTCATTCCAGTACCAAAGTGTTGGTTACTGGGCTCGTGATACCCTCGGGAAAACGTGAACAAGCACGGACGTCACCCACTAATTGAGATGTGTAAACGCCATTCTTTGGGACAAAGGAAATGTTACTGCTGATAAATGGTAAGTTGAAAATTGGAAAGTTGAAATCATCACGTTAGTCAAAGATTTTAGCTTGAAGTCGCCCATCTATGTCATCAAATAAAATATTAAGATATGAAGCAGCTCTTCCAGTTTCGGTAGTAAGCTTAATCCCAAGTTCACTTGGATAAATGAATTGCAAGCAATCACTGAAATGTGGATGACTGGGTGACAGGACATCATCAGTTTTTGTAATAGTGAAATTAAAGAACTTTGCAAGATGTGTAAGACCTACTCGTATATAAACTAATACAGTGTACATTATATTAATATCTACCTACATTTGAAGTAGCACAGACCAGGTGCCTCTACTGTACAGTCATCATCATCCCATTTATAGACAAAGTATGGAAAGAGTTTAACACAATTCTGGAGGGTATTACCATCTGGTTTTCCATTGTCCCAGTTTGTCCAATTCTGCAATTCATCCTCATAGTTCATGAAGACGTTTTCAGTTAATTTGTCATTCACACCAATAAAATATCCATTTACAGAACCGTATCTAAAATCATAAGATATCAGTTAATTCAAAAGCTACAGTATTTTCAATTTTACCAATTGACAAGATCATATAAATAACACATACCTGAGAGGGCGATAAAGCAGATTGTTACCCCGAGAAAACATTGTCAACGCGGCAAAGCCAAGGTTGACAATGTCTTTTCGAGGGGTAACAATTTGCTCGATCATCCTCTCCGCTATGTGTTATTTAATTCATTATGCTGATTGTCTATTAAATTTTCAAATTCAAAGTAATAAACTATGAAGTCTTGTACATAAAAACCATTCGTATTAAATAAAGCGCACACTTGAACAAGCGTCTCCGTGAAGGGTAATAGAGTATTTACCATGGGATAGAGTAAATTATCTACCTCGTATTAACCAATCAAAATCTGGCATTTTTTTGGCATGAAGTATAATAAAACTTATTGACCCCAGGACGGTGGAACTTGTGAACACTAATGATATGTGTACTTATCATTCTGATATGACGACCTATATATCGTCAACCAGTATAATCACAGTATATCTACTTTTAGCGCAAACGCATTAATACAAAAAAATGGCTGTTCTGCGTTACGCCCACCTTATTTATACGACCAGGTAAACTCAATTTGCGACATTAAAATCCAAGTTTTACGTAAGCCAAGTTTCAAATACAGAACGGGTATCTCTATTCTAATGCAAAATAAACAAATCAGTCCATTTCAGGTTGCACTTCTGTAAATATAGACAATGTAAACTCCTTTTACGGTTTAAACTGTACCACTTTTACAATGACGTTTCGTAAAAAAATATATCCTAGAATGGAAAGTTTATATGCGCTACAATTTTTTTCAAAGGTCAAATTATAGGGCTGCGTTTCATATTTTCAACATTTATATGCCCCGAACTTCTAAGAGTTTTAACTTATACTTAAAATTCTATACTACCCCTACCTTCACTTTTGGTTTTCCTCAGAATTCAATTTCGCCGCTATCCATGTGTATTTATACTGGTAACACACCAGTTATGTCTCTATGAGATGAAACATAGAGATCATATCTGGGAACCAGTACGTAAACAAAACAAAATATCTATGAATATTATATATCTCTCCAAAAGAGGCGTGGTTTGTGAAACAGTTGTATTTAGAAAGTGCAACCTAAAGTGATGATTTCGATGTTAAATCTCTTAAAACGAAAATTCCGTGAAATCATGTTAACATCTTTGGCAACTAAACAAGGTGATGTCATATATATGCTTCCGGCTTCAAATGCGTTTTTTTCGTGCTTCTTGTACGCCTCAGAATGTTTTTTTTATTTATCATCGAAGAATGTTGTATTAATATCGCTACCGCTCGGATAAAATAATCGAATATATAAATGCCCAACCCATGGTTAAATGAAAAAAATTTACAGCTGCCATGAATTATTTCTTAATTTGTTAGCTTTGAACTGGAATGAGCATATCATGATATCGTAAATATTTGGCAATAAATCAGAAAATACAAAACAAGTGTGCTTCAGGGACCAAGTATTTATAATATATCATGTTTTCGACAGGTTGTCCTCAAAATATATAAGTAAAAGATTTATAAGGTATGAATAACAATATTAGATTTTAAACACAGCAAATACATACAATTTAATATTCGTATTTATGAACAGACTGTCAAAGCTAGATGTTATGAAGTCTGACACGTTCCTGTTTGGAATAGATGCAAGAGTGCCGTTGTTTGCTTTACATGCATTAATAACTTCATATTCAGTTCCTATATCAACAATCCAATAGCAAGCTTCTGAGTTTGATATTCCATTGGGTGGACACAGGGTATATACTGTTAAAATAAGAACGAACAACAATTACAAAAAGTTCCAAGTATTCCTTTTATTTTCCAATTCAAGCAATGAAAAATATCGTAAGGCACAATTTGAGAACGGAGGAGAAAAATGAAAAAAAATCTTCTTTTGAAGCATTATTTTGACATTATGTGAAATGTTTATCATATTCACATATATATGTATTACAATGTCCTTAAATATTTGCTGTTGTCTGAGTTCTATAGGTTGAGAATACGAGGATTGCAATGGTTTTTAGCAAAACTTTTCAATAGAGTAACCTTTGACGTGGTATTCTTTTTGTTGAATAAAAGTTAATAAGTGACACTTACTACTATAATATTTCAATGGTCTGCAGTTGCACTTTGATTAAACTCTAGTTAAATTTAGTAATGAAGCTGTTAAGAAGGTTAATTTTTTTATGGTCTGACAAAATTTGAAGGTTTATAGAGGCCTTCATTTGCATTCCGAATTCATAAGATTTATGAAAGATATAAAACATATTTTGATGTCTGCAAAAATATATTTTTAATACTAATTTCGGTTCTTCATGACCACTTTCTTTGTTTAGATATTTTATTAATATGAAAGACATAATTTCATTGATCTCTAAAAAATATATTTTTAATACTAATTTCGGTTCTTCTTGACCCTTTCTTTGTTAAGATAGTGTATTAATATCATTTTCAATCATCCTTGACGAAATATTCGTTTCTGTGTGGAAAATGTTTTAAAAAATATTAATATCTCACAAAAGGGTACAACCATTTTTTTTTTTTGTCCCAATGAGAATATTCACAACGATCAAACATAATATTCTCATTTGAAAAATATGAAAGAAAAGGTAACATCCAAAATATTTTTAAAGAGAAAAATGAATTACAACTGTTAAGTCTAGATAATTCCAATGCCCAGTATATCGGCTACAGGAGACGCTTTATAGAATTAATTATTTGCATTTCCCATACGCATTTGTATACCAAAAGTCAAAACAATTCAGAATATTGCAACGTCTCGAGGGTATACTAATGTTTTAACTAATTTCATTGGCAGTTACATTTAGAATGGCTTTTTATTGGTCTACCTTATCTTAACGTTATTTGTCTTCCTATGTTACACACGAAATATGTAATGAGCTAGCATGCATATGATCTTATTAAATAGTTTAGCGAGAATATTAAGATGAAAGTTATAATTAATGTCGAAATAAATCAAAGTAGTTTTTCAAATGCAGATAAAAAAAAAAAGATTAATGCATCTAAAGCTTAAGTTCGTGCTTGCTGTGAAGACAGCCTTTTTTAGTGACTGGTTTTGGTCCGTCTAACAGCACAAAACAGGTAGTCAGACGTCAGAGCAATGTCGGACTAATAAATGATGAAAGGTTGTAAGTTTAAAAATTCTCACCTCTTTGTGTTGTCAGTGTAAGGATGTAAAACACCTACAAAGATTATAATTGATATTCAAGTTAGATCTGACTTTTTTGTATCGAAATATGATATATTCAGTGTTTGTATGATAAAAAGTAACTTACCTTTGCAGATTAATGTAGATACGTCTTTTTTATATTGCTCATGATGCTTAACATTTTGACATTTTGTGCATACACTTCATAAACCTTGCAGACCTAGGATTGTATTATTAATCCGAATAAAGAAGAAAATGTCCCAGTTACCAAATATTATGTTTTGTGAAATTGTAAAATCGGTCTGCACTCCTTTTCATATAACGTTAAACCATGCATATGTAACAATTGGAAAAGCGTCAATTTGTTCATAGTGCAATAAAAGAAAATTTATGATTGCCGATGCTGGCCACTTAAATAACTTCTTGTAAACAGATTAAAAGGGGTTTATACTCTTACTAACCCTTGCATTATTTGTTAATTACTTAAATTACTTTTAACCAGACTATGTTTGCCAAGATTCTACCCTGGGCGATGATGATGGCTGTTTAACGGTCAGTGGCAAATAAAACGCACATTCAGGACGAGAACATGTTAATTTGATAATAATATTAGCCCTGCTTTGTACTAGACCGACATGCTGAGCCGGATTTTAAACGTGCTAGTCTTAAGGTAACAGTCCGAAGGAAGACATGTCACCCTACTCGGACACATTCTTCTGACTCCGGGCCGAAAAGTTTTTGCTCTTGCTCCTAAATGACATGTGCTTAACGGAGAAGCTGCATTATCAATTTTCAGGGCCTTGGTTTGACATGGGTGGGGATCGAATGCACGACCTCCCGCACTTAATGTGAGCACGCTATCACGACACTAACGAGGCGGTTTCTACCTTGGAAGCTGCTTCCGAAACATTGAAATATATATCTCCATGTTGTTACGGTATTCCATCGTTTCCCTTAATAGTAAAGTTGATAGAGGGCTGCTGCTTGTATATTTTATTGAATAATGTTTTCCTACTGGTAAGTTGTAGTCATGTACTCGAAAGTTTTACGGACGCAATCATGTTTGGTTGATCGTTATGGAATACATGTGTTACATGATGACCACGTATATGTACACGTCGTAAACCATAAACTCGTTTATCATTAGCCTGTTATCTTTGGCGAGTTTTACAACCCCTGGGTCGATGCCATTGATAGTGGAAGTTTCGTCCCCGAGGGTATCATCAGTCCAGTAGTCAGCACTCATCTGTTGCGTTGACATGCAATATTGATTTGTTAAAAATTTGTTGAATTATTCGAAACACAAAGTTTTTCTACCCAAAGCTTTAGCCGTGTTTTGCACAACGTTTCGGAATTTTTGGTTTGCAATGATCTTCAACTTTGTATTTGAATGGTCTTCCCCGATCTTTAGTTTTCAGTGTAGTGTTTGTGGGAAGTTGTAGGTCTGTTTCGGCTTTGGTTCTATCTACCGTTTAGGAGTCATGGTCCTTGATATATTGGAAAATTGCACTTGATGTCGTTTCCATTCAATTACAGTTACTTATGAACCCTTCTACCAATTGTTTTCAAATCATAATATGTGCATGGTTACTGATGACAAATTCGATGTCAAACAGAAGTTATGGTTCTTGATAGATTGAAGAATGACATTTTCTGTCGTTTCCGTGCAAATACTTATGACCCGTTCAACCAATGCCATTTTTGCTGTTCATGAGTTATGCTCCTTAATAAATTGGAAAATATGCATAGAATGTGAGAGGTAAAAAAAAGCGTCTTTCAAAATGCAGAAAACCCGATCATTTGCTGTCAATTTGACAGCTCATTCCTTGTTTCCCATGCATGTGATTTGTTTTTGTACAGTTGGAGACTAACATTTACCTGTAGAAGCATGATATTAATATATCTTTTTTATTAATCCCCGCACCTGTCTTGCTCATAACATCCGTGTTTATATCTTTTTTTTTATTAATCCCAGCACCTGTCTTGCTCATAACATCCGGGTTTCCGGAAGAAAAAAAAACTCGCAGTATTACAAGTAACAATTGTCACATTTCTCTATAAAGCTTGAATATAGTGATTTATTTACTCAAAGTTATATTCAGAAAGAGAGAAAATGTTATTTTGATTGTGTCTGTGTATTGAACATAAAGTTGTACCCGAGAATTTTTGACGCTCAGCTGTGCAGGCTTTCGTCATGCCGGGTTTTTTTTATAGCTTACTAGAAAGTGTTGGTTTTAATCATTATTGAATGCAGTAAACGTTTACATTCTCGTCCTGTAGTCTTTGATGGATAGCCGTCTCATTGACAATCGTGTCACATCTCTTTATGTTTGTTTTTGGTACAGTCCAGAATATGCATTTGATGTTTGTCCTTGAACTTGAACCAAGGACGTTGATAATAACAACAGTAGTCTATATATGTTTGTTCTTTACCTTAAGTAACCAAACACAGAGTTCCATTAAACTGCAAAATAAATTTTAATTTACAACATTTTTTAAAATTTCTCAATAATAAAAAATGGAAAATAAATGAGTTGATTATTGAAATTCCAATAGGCTGGTAACAAGGGAAGGCAATTGTCACAACTCTTGAAATACGCTCACTCTTCATGCTCTATTATGAAAAAGATTTTAAAAACTAGATGTACTATCACTTTCGCATTAAAATTCACAAAGAAGTTAAACACGCGTATGGCAAAACAGTTTTTTTGTTTTGTTATATACGAGACTGTTTCTATATGGTCTCGATCATTTATTTTTTTTCACTACACGAGAATTAAAGAGGCTTTAGATCACACGATTTTTCATATCAGTTAAATTTGCTCTAAAAATAGTTAACATAGTCAATACTGCCAATATAGAACCGTTAATGTAATGAAATATAAAAATCCATAAAAAAGCAGAAAAGCATAACTGTATCATGCAGCTTAATGTTAAAATTTAGCCATGTTTGTATCATATTCAAATGTAAGTTTTCAACCCCCCAGAAAATAATAAATCATAAAATCGAATTTTATTACCATAAAAAGGAAATCATATCTGCGTTTGTCTTGAAATGCTACTTCTAATTAGAAAGCTGTTGTGAACATTTGCATTCAAATAAAAGCTGACAGGATAAAAAGTTTAGCTACAGTTTTCTAAATGTTCAGTTTATCATAGTATAAATGACATTCACAACGGGCGAGCGAGAATTGAATGTTAAATGAAGATATTGAATCAAAACATGCATCACGGTTTGATTAAAGTATAATAACTGGAAAGGTAGATGAACCCCAAAAAGTAATTAAAAATAAAATCTCTGATTCAATAATCTACAGAACTATGGAACACTCAATAATAAGTGATTAGTATTTTGCTTTCCAAAAAAGTGCAATTTCCTGTATGAGAGTTTGAGATTTGTAACTCAAGAATGAATTTGTCATGTTAATTGGTAACGAATATACACAAGTTTAGGTTATTACAAATAAGAGAAAGAAAAAAAGAAAAAAATCGAAAAGTATTCAGCCAATAGACACAATATACATAGAAAATTAAATTGAGTTTCTAATCAAGAAGATACCATTCCCGAGCTTTTTAACAACGCTTTTTAAACTGAATACAACAACTAACGTGGTTTCTAAATTGGGACAAGCACGTGAACATGGACCGGGTTAAATTAAACATTTTAGCACTCAACCCTGTCCCTTGTAATCATGAATTGTAATAATCTGTAGAAGAAAGCAGGAAGGATCAATCTTGATCAGTAGATTTATACAGACTTTCAATAACAAAATAAAATTAACTGTTTAGTTTTATTCAATTTATAAATAAGTGAATTAGTATTTAATCGAAAAATACCAGATGCAATGATTTAACAACAACGTTATAAAAGGCCTAAACAATGATCGTTTTAAGCTAGAAAGAAATGTTCAAAGAACAATTCTTATTCTTGTTTGCTTTATGAATAATATTACCATAAAAGCTGATTTGTATCATATTTTCACAATTACAGACCTACACTTGTGATAAAATTTTGTAAAAATTAAAATGGATTGTTCCATGTTGTGAAATTTTTTGTTGAAATAAGAATTTATGAGAAAGCTGCCAAACATTAAGATGTACAAAAGAAACCTCTTGTAATATCGAACAATTTTAATGTTTGACAATTTCTGTGAGGCCTAACTTCTGTATGTAATATCTGAGCATCATAACTATATACCTTCCTTTAAGAGGTTCATAGGCGGATCCAGGGGGGGCTAGGGGGCCCGCCCCCCCCCCCCTTTTGTGGGAAAAATTTGGTTGATTATATAGGGAATCACTGAAGCATGACTGGAGCGGGCCCCCCTTAGGTCAGTCAGCGGGCCCCCCCTTATGAAAAGTTCTGGATCCGCCACTGAGTTCATATTGAACTTGAAAATAAGTCAAGTCACAAGTTTAACCTTTCCATAAAGGTATTGAGTGCTTTTATTTTTATAAGTTAGTAAAATTTGCCCTGGCTCCTACACCCCTAAATTTTAGCACAATGATGTATTCCAATTTCTGAATTTAGTCATACAAAACAATTTTCCGATATACTTGTCTTTGAATTTTCAATATCGTAAAAAGTCAATAGATGCCCATGCATGTTAATCATTTTTGTTATTTTGATGACCCGTTGACTTTTACTGATTATCTCCTTATTATTAAAAAATAGTATAATATAAGGTTTGGCTCCTTCATCCTCCCCTTATCAACATTTAACCACTCCCCCTTTTAAAAGTTCTTTAATCAATTACTGATAAGACTACGCGAACCAAAAATGGGTTTGTGTGATTTACCTCTTTCGTTTGAACAATTCATCAAAACAAATTATACAAGTTTGATTTATCAGTAAATGTCTTTAAATTTGACACCCTTATAAAGTTCTACAATATCTAAAAATTGCTTGCGCTCTTCGATGTATTTAGGCCATTTAAGTAAAAAATGTATTTCATCTTCACTTTCTTTTTTGCAATTGTACATCTTCCAACTTCTATTTCTAGTTATTGTGCACTTAGTCGAAATTAAGTAATCTAT